TCTTTTTCACCTTCTCTAGAGAGTAACCCCTCTTCTTTTGACTTTCATGTCACTATTTTTTAAAAGAGCAGGTTACTTTTCTTATAGAATACCCCATAGTCCAGACTTACTGATTTTTTTCCTTCTGGAAACATAAGATGTGTTAAACATATCTGACAAGAAAACTAACAACAGAAATGTGGCCTTTCTATTTTGTCACATCAGAAGGCACATAACATCGGTCTGTCCGGCTATTGGTGATTCTGTTTAATCACCCACATAAGTTGATATTTGTCTTTTTTTTTTCATATTTTCAAAGGTATCTTTTTTCCCCTTATGATTTAGAGAAATGTGGGGCACAATACTTTGAGACCATGCAAACATTGTTCTCCAACAGCCTTCTCCTTTTTCCCCAAAATCCGGAACAAAACAAGGATGCCCACTCTCACCCCTTTTATTCAGCATGTAACAACCCTGGCCACAGCAGTTAGGCGAGAAAAAGAAATAAAAGGCATACAGATTGGAAAGAAAGAAGGAAAACTGCCGCTCTTATAGATGACATGATACCGTGTATATAAATTGTCAGGACTGATTAGAAGAAAAAAACTCAGGTTATGGGATACAAAATTAATATGTAAAAAGCAGTTGTGTTTCTGTACATTAATAACAGACTATCAGAAGGAAAAATCAAGAAAATGTTCCATTTACAGTTGCATCAAAAAGAGTAAAATACCTAGGAATATATTTAACCAAAGAGGTGAAAGACCTGTATGCTGAAAACTGCAATACATTCATGAAAAAAAAATGAAGAGACAAATAAAAAGCAAGATATTTCATCCTCAAAGACTGAAAGAATAATGTTAAGATGTCCATACTACCCAAAGCAATCTACGGATTCAGTGCAGTCCCTATTAAAATTCCAATGGCGGGTGCCTAGGTGGCTCAGTTGGTTGAACATCCCAGCTTGGCTTGGGTCATGATCTCACATTTCGTGGGTTCGATCCCCATGTCGGGCTCTATGGTGACAGCCTGGAGCATGCTTTGGATTCTGGGTCTCCCTCTCTTTCTGCCCCTCCCTCTCTGGCACTCTGTCTCTGTCTCTCAAAAATGAATATATGTTTAAAAAAATTTTTTTTAATTCCAGTGGCATTGTCCACAGAACTAGAAATAATTCTAAAAAGGTTTTAGACCTGAATAGCCAAACCAGTTTTGACCAAGAAGAACAAAGCCAAGGGGTATCACACTCCCTGAGTTCAAACTATGCTACTAAACTCTAGTAATCAAAACAGCTGGATATCGGCATAAAAACAGACACATACATGAGTAGAAAGCATAGAAATAAACCCATGTGTTTTTGGTCAGCTGATTTACCACAGAGGAGGCAAGAACAGAGAATAGGGACAGGGCAGTCTTTAACAAATGGTGGTGGGGAAACTGGACTGCTGTTTTATACCATATGCAAAAGCAACTAAAAATGGATTCAAGGTTTGAATGTACAACCTAAAACTATGAAACTCCTAGAAAACATAGGTGGTGTTAAGCTCCTTGATACTGGTCTTAGCAGTGGGTTTTTTGGCTTGGCAGCAAAAGCAAAAATAAACAAATGGAACCACATCAAACTAAAAACCTTCTGTGCAGTAAAGTAAATGATCAGCAACAGGAAAGGCAACCCACTGAGTGGGCGAAATAAGAATTAACACAACTCAGTAGCAGAAAACAGTCTGATGAAAAAGTGAGGAGATGATTTGAATAGATATTTCTCCAAAGACGTACAGGTAACAAAAAGATGTCCAACATCACCAATCATCAGGGAAACACAAATCAAAACTACAGTGAGATCTCACCTTACACCTGTCAGAATGGCTGTTATCAAAAAGACAAGAAATAACAGGGTGTGGAGAAAAGGGAGCCCTGTCACACTATTGGTGGCACTGTAAATTAGTGCAGCCACCGTGGAAAACAGTGTGTAGATTTCCTCAATAAATTAAGCAATCTTATAAGCCAGCCATTCCAATACTGGGTATCTATCCAAGAAAATGAAAACGCTAATCTGAAAAGATATGTACATTCCTGTGTTCACTGCAGATTTATTTACAATAACCAAGATGATGAAAACAGCCTAGCTGTCCATCTGTGAATGAATAAAGAAAATGCGGTTGGTTCATCGATCTCGATAACTCCGCCATCTGAGTAGGATATACATAAATATTACTGAGCCATAAAAAAGAATGAAGCCTCACTGTTTGCAACATGGATGAACCCTGAGTGTATTTTAAGTGAAATAACGCAGACAGAAAGAGATAAATACTGCATGCTTTCACTTACGTGTGAAATCTAAAAAACAAATCGGAACAAAACCCAGACTTACAGAGTGGTGGTTTCCGGAGGGAAGGGTGGTTGGGAAAGGGAGAGCAAAATGGGTGAAGAGGATTACTAAGTGCATACTTCAGGTCATGAAATAAATAACTCACTGGGATGTATTGTACATCAGTAACATTGTAAGGTGAAAAGAGAGGAACCAGACTTACCAGGGGGACCATTTCACATTGTGTGTAAATATCAAATCACTGTGTTACACACCTGGAACTAGCGTGACATTGTCAATTACACCTCAGTAAATGTCTTCAGATGCTCAGGTAAAAATGAGAGTATCCCTTTAGACTGCTCGACTCCCTCCCCGCCGTAGCTGCACCCCTTCCCCAGTCTGTTCGCAGTTTGATCTGTGTCCTTTAAACTTTCTTTTGCTGTAGTTGATGGCAGTTTTGTTGTATTTTTTCCATATTTAGCTCATAAACATACACGAAGGGTGTGTTTATTTCTTTACTTTGCAAATAATGTAATCATGCTCCAGATAACGTATTGTGACTTGGTGTTTTACTTTGTTTTTTTATGTCCCTTTGTATTGAGTTACCTCACTCTTAGTAGCTGTATGATAGTTCATACCACGGATCTACCGTAGCTGATATTTGTGTTGTTTCTAGGTTTCCTGTATTATAGGCAGCTGCAGTTAATATCCTGGAATATGTCTGTGCATATGTTCAAGTATTTCTATAGAATAGATTTCCAAGAGGTAGAATGGTTAATTAACTGTCATTGATTCACACTTAGGCAGTAGCTTCCTCACACCCTTACCAACACCGGCAATATTTAGCAATGTTTTTTATATTTGCCAATCTGATGGGTTAAGAAAAGAACAGTAGCTTACTGTTTTCATCAATATTTTTCTGTTTACTAGTGAGAACGTTCATTCATGTTTGTTAGCCACTAATTTCCTCTGGTTGCTCACTTGTCTGTAGGGGTTATGTTTTAGCTTTCATATACGGTGTCCCTTGCGGTCTGAATTTTTGCCATCTAAACTCTGGAATTAGGTAGATCTGATGAAGTCTTGAGAAAACCCTATCTCTGTGCACCCTCCCTGCGCCATCCAGGGTCAGATTGATTCAGATGACAGCCATCCTGATGTGCTGTCCAGACTCCAGAGCCAAATAGAGTCTTTCAGAGAGGAAGACGCAGCTCGTTCTGATCTTCCCTACAATGTGTTACATTCCCCACCCCCCCACCCACGCTGTGTGTGGTTTAACTTTTGATGTCATTCATGTGGTTTTACACAATAAAAAGTTGAAAACGTTTGTTGAATGTCAGTGGTTTTCCGGTGTAAGTTCTAAGGTTTTGCTTTTATCTAAGTCGTCTTTTCTCTAAGATTTTTTTCAATCTATCTTATTTTCTTCTCTGTGGTTATTTTTAGACACACTGGAATTCCTGGACACATGAAATGTATTTTTATGCATAATGTATTTTGTCAACACATTGTTAATCATTTATCGTTAATCTTAAACACCACCTTTATCCCACACCAGGATTTTTATGTATGTGGGGGTCTGTTCTAAACCTGTGCCACACTGTTTGGTGAATGTTTGAGTATCTAGATAAGAAAGTTCCTTTTTCTTTTTTAAATATCCCTTGTTTATTATTGCTTCATTTTCCTTCCTGGTACATTTTTAGGGCAAAATAAGTCAGTTTTGCCTATGTATGTACGCTTCCTGCAGCAATGTAGACAAACGTGCACCTCCCCCCCCCCCCCCCCCTGGGTCTGGGAGAAACTGGTTAGGGGTCTGGGACCAAGGTTAAGACTTGAATAAACCCAGAAAAATTAAAGACAAATTATCCTCTAAGCCTTGAAGAAATCCTATGGGTCTGTAACACTGTTAAGTGCTGCCTAAATGTGTGTTTAATGAGCCCTTGATTCATCGATTCTTCTAGGTAGACCTTCTCCAGTCCTCGTACTTCTCCACGGTCACCCCCAGAATTTCACGTCATGATGCTGGCGCACTCCCTTCACTCTTCCAGACCCTTCTCCCCAGTCCCCTACACCCCATCCCAACCCCCACATTTTCTGTCCGGGGGAAATCTCCCTGGTTCCTACAAACCCAGTTCAGATACTACCTTTTCTGGGAATGTTTTCTTCCTGCCAATGGTAAGAAGACTGTGAGAGCCTTTGTGCCTGTTATTTGTTCCTGTAATATCATTATCCAGCTTCGGGCTAAGTCAGGACACAAATGCCATATAGGTCTTTTTCAAAAACATTTGAAAAAGAATAAAACATCCCAGTCTTCAGGGAGATCACCGGAGAATAAAGGAAAAGCTGAAGCTAGAAGAAAAATAGATATGAAAGCATACATTATATGTGATTTTTTTTTTTTTTTTTTTTCAAATCACAGGAGACCTTTTTTACATCCATTTTGTCCCCCAGCCTGGCCAGGTTTAGGTTTTATGGCTTCTGCTGTAAGCCTTTACAAATGGAGCCATTCATTTTGACCTGGGAAAACATTCCACACGGCGCAGAGATGGGACCGTATGGGTATGGGTCCTTCTCATGGAGTTTGGGGGCCAGAAGGAAAAATACTAGGAAATGGAGTTAGAAAGACATAGGCATTCCATGAAGGACTGGGGGGTAGTCATCGCTATCATGTGGAGCCGTGCTGTAAACAACAGATATTCTGAATCTCTCCTTTTTTTCCTAGTACTGGATGAATGAATACACCTCGTCCATCGGAATTGGAGTTTTTCATTCAGGAATTGAAGTGTATGGCAGAGGTATGTGTACCCACCGCCTGAACAGGCTTCCCCGACGATTGTTTTCTTTTAAAGGACTCGCGGAATCATCACTACAGCTCTTCCTCTTTTTTTCCAACCGCTTCCATACATTATCGTATGGCACAAAGTAGAACAGTCTCCCCACATTTGTTTGTACTGCAGTTTGGGAAAATGCCCAAAGCTGGATGTATTTGAGGAGAAGGTATTACAGTTCATGACCATACGTTCATTGAGTTATCTTTTTTTCCAAATACAGCGGCTTAAAAAATGGTTGCGTCTTGGACTGTTTGACGGCGACAGTTTTGCTCTAATGAACACCGGAGTCCCTAAGAAACCTTGCGCTTTGCAAAACAGTCATTATGGTTGGAAGAGCCTTGGTGCAAGAGTGGCAAGCTTGAAATACCAATTTCCCTAGGGAATTTCAGTATTGAATTTGGTTTTGGAGACTTGCAAGTGTGTAGTTACAAAACTGGAAAATATCACTGAGCAAATCTCTGCACTTGACTCCATCTAGCTTTTCGCTCTGGAATGATGGCCTGTGTCATTAGCCCAGTCCTTTTATTCCTCATTGCCCTTAATTATGATAAATATGACAGGAGCCACTCAAACCTAGCAGCTCGGTGTTCAGCAGCTTTTTCCTTTGTTCTGATTCCCGCTGCTGGTGCAGGGTAATTCTTCCAGGTCAAGCCGGAAGCAGTAATGATCTGCATAAGATGTACCACGTTTCCAGTGTCATCGGGGTTGTGAAAGTAGATTATTTTGAATCCTAAACTCACCCTGTAGCAGAAATGTCTTTGATTTGCCTCAGGTGGGAGGCCTTTGTGCGAGCCTTCTAAGAAGATGTGCTCGCAGTCCACTCGGAGTTCCCCGTGGCTGTAGCTGATTCGAGGAAAAGCCTCCTTTGCTCACGCTGGCCGCCGTGTGCTACTGCTGCCCCTTTCTCACAGTCCACATCAGCTGCTTCTAGATGCAGCGTAGCCTATCAGACGTTCGCTATACAGATGTGCTGTTGAAGCTCCATTTGATTGGAAAGGCTGTATCTGTCTCCCAGATGATCCCCAAAAGCAGGGAGGCTCCTGTGAAGGTGTCACTGGTCGCTACATGTAGCCACGGGTGGCATCGTCATCCTTGGGTTTGCACCCTTGCTTGGTTTGGCCTTTGCCAGAGCTTTTTCCCCTTTAACTGAATCCCTGTGGTGTTGTCATAGTTTTCTAAGTGCCACCAAGTTCTGAGCCACATGATCCCGTTGCCGTGAAGTAAAGAAGGATGTGCGATCCTGCGGCGCTTTCTCCATTTTGCAGGCAAAGAAGCCAATGCTCAGATCTGTTGGAAGTCAGACTACCGATAGTTCATAGAACTAGGGCCGGAACCCAGGCATTCCTCTGTGCCAGTCACTGTTCTGTCACCTGTCTAATCCCTGTGCCCCTCCATAAAGGATTCAGGAATCCTTAGAAACATGGTTTGAAACATGTTCATGTAAGCTGAGCAGAGCTAAGGTCACACGTCTTCCTGAAAGTGAATGATGCTTCTCGAGCAGGTGAATAAATGGCTCTATGACTTTTCTTTACCGGACTTGAGGATGTTAAAAATCTAAACGTAATCTTCCTACATCCATCCTGATTATCTACAATGTTGATTATAAAGTCCTACCGTTAAGATAAATTTTAATGTGTATTTCAGAATTGAACGCCACACGCTTTCTTATCCACACCTTTGCTTTCTTTCTGGAAGGTCTGAATCAGATGGAAACTTGGTGTCTGCCTTGTTCTCACCTATGCTCTGCTCTAAGACCTTTCACGATTATATTTAATACATTTTAAGTGATGAGATCAACTTTAACATTTGTTTGTAATTTTTTAAGTAAGTCTACTAAAATTTGCCACTTAAATATCTAAATATCTCCTACCAGAAACTTTAGTTCCGTCCTTATCTGAAACCGTTCTCCGCTTCTGGTCTGGATGAGAGTTTATAGCTCCGGAACCCACAGCACAAGTACTTCCCTCATAGCTGAAAGATTGCTGTGGACAGTGTGTGTGAAGAGGTGTGTATGTTAACGTGGAAGCTTTTTTTTTTTTCTTGAATGAGGGGAACTGAATTCAGTTTTTCACGTTTGCGAATGTGTCCCTCTTAATTCAAAGATAAACCAAGAGCCTTCAACCCATGAGCCATGAAAACTCATCACTGTTAGACAGTTTTTCCAGTGAAGCATTTAAGTTCAAAATTTGATCCCTTCAGTTTAGAAAGTGGCAAAGCGCTGAACTGACCGCCCACGTGGTCTGGCACGCTGCATGGGCAGAGAGACCATGGTCACCTACATCAGTCACCTGCCGACGAGAATGGACGAGTCAGGGTCACCTTTGAGTGTCTTGCGTTATCAGAGTTTCAGGCCTTTTGTATCGACTGTTGTTACATGTAACAGCTAAACGAGACGGAGATATTTGTGAAAGCATTGGTAAATTGGAAAATACTTAGATGGTGTCATTATTAGCCTCATCATTTATTAAAGCTAATTCAGCATTCTGGTTAAGTTTTGTGTGATAAATACTAAAAATCATGAGTTTTCTCTTTTCAGAATTTGCTTATGGTGGCCATCCTTATCCCTTTTCTGGAATATTTGAAATTTCCCCAGGAAATGCTTCTGAACTAGGAGAAACATTTAAATTTAAGTAAGTAGGGAGGATAATTTTTATTACACTGTCTTAGGTGCCAAAGCTTGTTTGCAGGCCTATGGAAGTCACTCTGTAGACTAAACTCTAGGGAGTTAAAATGTTTCTTTAACGCTGTTCTAGTTGCTGACACTTTATTTTAAAATCGAACCTATCTCAAGTGTGTAAATATGAGAATCAGCCAGATGAAGTGCCTGAAATAACCTAGCCTTTTGCTTGTATTCAGGACCCACGTGAGTTACTTTGTGTACTTTAAAAATGTTCTTACCGTCCTTTCATCCCTTAGTATGTAAGTTGGACTCTGCCTTAGGAAACGTGTGTATGTACGTGATTGCTTCCCTCAGACTCCCGTGCAGGGAGAGATGGAAGAAAGTGATATTGTGACCTACCTGACACAGTTAAAAACCTTCATTCTCCTGGCGAACATAGCGCAGCACACAGAGGTGTAGAATCGCTGTGTTGTACACATGAAACTAACGTAATGTTGTGTGTCAACTATACTCCGATTAAAGCCTTTTTAATAAAATGCATGAAGAGAAAATAAATAGTCAGTAGGAATTTTTTTTTTAATCTTTTCATTTGTCCCAACGAAAGGGACGCTGTTTATACATTTGAAATATCTGAACAGTTGATGAGCTGAGAAACTTGTTAAGGTACACGTAGTACATGTATCGAGAAACCAAAATACTCCGGAACCTTAGGAGTAGTCGGCAGCACCAAGAATTTGAATGCTTAATGATCCAAATTTCCATTTCTTAGTTAAGGTTTATATTTGAAAAGATATTTAGAACCTTAGTTTCAAGGAGCTCTAAAGAACCTTCTGGGCCTATAATCATTAACTTACCAAGTGAAAAACAGCGAAATGAGGTTGTAACACTGAAATTCAGGTTAGGGCTACCCATGTCGATCACTACCAAGTTCACGGTTCTCCCAGCCTGTCACTGATAGGCTCTAGTGCCGTCCTGAGTCTGTTCCTCAGGTGTCCCCTTTCACAGGACTGCTAGATGAAAGGGCTTTCTAGGTATTTGTAGTTTTCTTGGATGCCTAATTTGTATCTGACTTAAATTCTGCTTTCTATTGGGTATCATGTCTGTCACATTTCCAGGGTGGTCGTTGGGGATCGGGTGGAGGGGGAGTGGATGGGTTGATTGGTTTTTATAATGCTGTAAAAAAAAATGTAGTAGGTAATTCATGTCCCTGTGGCATAGAAGCAGATAGCGTAAAAGACTATTTCTGAATGAGATTACGGCCAGCTATTCACAGGCCAGTATAATTGCAGAGGAGTATCTACAGCACCATCTGGGTCTGCAGTGACCTGGCTGTATACAGTGCTTGTAAAAATAATGTGCTAGTACGTTTTCAACGTATGATGCACTGCTTCCTAAAGAAAGTGACCAAGTTCGCACTAGTATGATTCAGAAGGAACGGACTTAAGAGTTTATTGTAGAAAAGCAAAGGCTCAAATAACAGAAGATGGAAAAGTGTCTCCTTTACCTTTTAGTCTTAGTGCATTAACTCCCTTCTGTTAACCAGTCAGAATATCCCTGGAAATGAGCAAGTCTTTACACACGCTCTTTTCTCACTGCTTCCAATTCACACAGTCGCGTTTTTTCTTTCTTTTCCTTTTTGTTCTTCAAGAGAAGCTGTAGTTTTAGGGAGCACAGACTTCCTGGAGGACGACATAGAGAAGATCGTGGAGGAGCTGGGCAAGGAGTACAAGGGCAACGCCTACCACCTGATGCACAAGAACTGCAACCACTTCTCCTCGGCGCTGTCGGAGGTGAGTGTCCCCCGCGTCCCAAGCGCGCCCTCTGCGACACCCTGGGGTCCTTCAGGCACATAACCACTGCTGGTGTGCCTGAGGTGCCGTTCTTCCCTTCCCTGGCTCCTTCCTCGTCTTCCCAAGTCTTCGTGTTCATGGAAGGGGTGCTGTTCGAATCTTCCCCTCATCCGAGTGGCCTTTCCGAGGTTGGTGGCTTCCCAGGGGGCCTCGTGTTAAACTGCGACCCCGTTCGCGACTTTGTCGTGGGGAGGGTGAGCAGGGATAATCGTCCTTCTTATCCTAAAACACTCCCTTCCAACCTGAACTTCCTCTTTAAAGAAATTAATGCCGGGGGCACAGGGGTGGCTCAGTCGGTTAAGCATCCAACTCTTGATCTCAGCTCAGGTCATGATCTCACGTTTAGGGAGTTTGAAGGCCACGTTGGGCTCCGTACTGACAGTGTGAAGCCTGCTTGGGATTCTCTCTGCCCCTCTCCACTTGCACTTGCGCCCTCTCTCTCTCTCTCTCTCACTCTCGCTCGCTCTCAAAATAAATTTTAAAAAAAGTCTCTACTGCAAAAAAAAAAAAAAAATTAGAGAAAAATGAAATTAGACTGAGCCACTTCTGCTTCTTAGCCACAGGATTCTTCCTTTTCCGTTTTAGTTGCCAGTGTGATCCCCCCCCCCCACTCCTAAAATGATCAAGAAGTCGTCCATTTCTCCGGTCTTGACATTTCCTTCTTCCAACTTCCAACGTAGCTCACAGGCACTTACTTGATTTCCCGGTTCTAGTCCCCCGGGCCGGAGACCTGAGACCTGCGGGACCCGGAAGCGGAAGCGGGGGGAAGAAATGCCGAGGTTGTGAGACAGGGGCTGGAGAATTCACTAGCACACAGCTCCCCCACTCCGCACAGACTGGAGAGGGTGGGGGCCGCGGGGGTGGCCCTCTCCCTTCCCGCGCGGCCCGGATGGGCCGGGCCGGGCTTGTGTGCGGCCTGGAGCGCGGCCCCGGGACGCGGCACGTGGGACCGGAGACTGACGTCACCTGCGCCCCGCACGGCGGGCTGCGTCACGACCTTGGCGCCGACGTGGGGGCTGCAGAAGCAGCCGGAGTCGTGCACGCGCCGGGTCCACGCAGGCGACGCGCTTGCGCCCCGGGAATGAGAGAAGGCTCGGCCCTCCTGACCCGCCCCGCGTCGTCGTCTGCAGGCCGGCTGGCGTCTGTTGTGAACGGGGAAGCGTCTGCGAGTGACAGATCCAGACGGACACCTGGCCGTTTTGGCCAGACCGCGGATGTGAGGGACGCGTAGCCCTGGTGGTGACCTGAGCTTCGGCCCCTCTTCGGGCAGGAAGAGGAAAGAGAAGCCCCCAAATTCCCAAAGCGGAGTTGTGGGTGAGCCAGAAATGCCGACCGACGGTGTGGCTCCCTCCTCCGAGGGCCCGGAGCAAAGTCCAGGGGAGCCGGCGGGGGGTCCTGCCGCTGAGCCCCCCTCCGCCGTCGGCTGGAACAGCAAACCTGTCTGTGCGAGTTTGCTGCTGGAGTCTGAAGAAACTCGCAGCCGGGGAAGAACGGTGTGCTCTGTGACTCCGGCCCCTGAGGGTCTCCGCTCGAGCTGGAGGGCAGCGTCGGTGCGTGTAAGCGCGGGGGGTGCGGGTGCCCCGGGAGTGCGGGGAGAAACCGTGTCCGGGACTCGCCTCGCGCTGCCCGCAGCCGCAGCGTGGGCGGATTTAAGTCTGGATTATTAAAAGAACACATGTCTCCACAGCTGGGATTTTTGTTAGGACGTTTGCCTCTTGCAGCCCCGAAAGGCAGACGACATCCAAAGAGACGATTTCCAGATGGACTGGAGTTTTCAGAAGCGGCTGTTAGAGCTCGCGGGCCCTGGTGCGGCCGCTTAGCCGAGGCGTGGAGGCCGAGGGCTTCCCCGGCTGCCGTGCTTGTCCGTGGCTCTTGAAAGGGGCTCCGGAAAACCACGGTTGCTTAACCTTAGGAACGCGGCGCCCTGGCTACACAGCGTCTTGGCCTCACTAGTGCCAGACAAAAGCCCTGGCCTTTAATCGAAATCCCGAAGTCACAGACCTGATTCCCCGCGCTGGACCGTTCGGCCAAAACCCACCCTTGTCCGCCCCCCGCGGGGCCAACCTGAAAGCTGGTGCAGCCCAGGAACCGGACTCCTCCCTGGGGACCCTTGCGCGGAGCTCTCGGCCACGGAAGCATCGTGATGACCGCTCCATCCGGGTGATGTGCCGGGCAGGGGGGGCACCTGCACCCAGCTGCTCGTTGGCCCCTCGTTTCCGGTACCAGGACCGACTGAGTTCCTAGCCCGCGAGTCTTCCAGAACCGGCAAGTGGGGGAGAGCGCGGCCTGGGAGGAGGGGGTCTGGGGTGGGGGTGGGGCGGTAGCCAGACCCACCCTTCCTCCCACTCCCCCTGCGCTCCTTAGCGAGGCAGCGCAGTCCTCAAATGCAGCTGCGGAATCGGATGCTCTTCCCTGGGCCGTTCACGGGCTAGATGATCAGTGGGACGGAGGGGGCAACCTATAAACTCGTGGTGACCTTTTATGAAAAGTCAGCATTTCACCGTGACCAGTGTCTAACATGATGTGTCCAGCTAGTTAAGTCATATATTTCCCAGTGACAGCCCCTGTCCTTCTTATATGTATGTCCTTTTGAGACCCCCCCCAAAAAAAAAAGTCCGGATGAGAGTAAGGGATAATTTTTAAAGTGTGAAGTCAGGATTGCCAAATGGTCCACACAGATTTCATAACAACACACAAAAACCAAGACCCTGGCACTGGGGGAGGAAGGAGGGAGGTACTTAATAACCTTTGTTTCTTAATGCTGCCTCTTCCCTCGCCCTGAAGAACAGCCTCTGTGTCCCGCCTCTCAGCCACTGTGAGCACATTGGACGACGCCAGGCTGCTCACCTGCCAGCCAGCGACAGTGCTGACATGGCACCCAGGCCGTCCCCACACCTGCCACCCAGCACAGGGGCACTAACTTGGCCTCGCAGACAGACAGGACTGTTCAGTGCTGACTGTGTTTAGTCAGAGCCTCCAAGATTGGACTCGTCTTTCAGGCTGGATCGGAAGCCCTGCCTCAGTGCATCTGGGCAGCAGTTCCGTGGCAGCACAGCCAGGTGGCCGACAGACAGCAGACCTTTATGTCTCACGGCCACCATCCAGGCGCTGGCAGACTTGGCCTTCTGGCAAGTGCTGTTTCCTGGGTCATAAGCCGCTTCTTGCTTTGGCCTCTGGTGCCAGGAGGGGTGAGGTAAGGGCACTAATCCTGTTTGCCAGGGCTCAGGCCTCATGACCCTCCTGCCTCCCAGATGCTGCCTTCCACCTACGTCAAGTTCAAGGTTAGGATTTCAGCTCACCAGCTTTGAGGGGACAAAGCTCCTCAGTCTAGAGCAAGCCCCACAGTGCTCGCTGCCACCGAGGAGGCACACCGGAGGCCTGTACCCTGTGCTGCCAACCTGTGTGTGCTCTGTTCAGGGGGCCCCGATATGGTAGCTTCCTTGCTAGGGGTGTCACGTGTGTCCTCTGGGATTCTGCTCATGCGTGTGCCCTCCCACGACCTCCTTCAGGCCAGGTGAAGAAGGTTCCTACCAAAACTCAGGTGGAAGCCACTTGGCTCTCAAAAGTCAACCTTTACAGTTAGTGGGATTTGCTGTAACTTTGATGATAATTCCTGTCACAACAGCTTGGCCAAGTTTGGGGGCTCTAGTGGGGGGAGGTTCCATGGAAAAAAAGAGTTAAAACGGGACCAGAGGCTGCTGTCCTTACAAAAGACTGGGGCCTTGGATGGCCTCTGTGAACGTGACTGTCAGAAGGGCCCTCAACATTCCCAACATGGAGGAGCGGCTCACCGGGCCCGACCTGTGTGTACAGTGTGATTTCTACAAAACACCTGCTTCCATTCCAGGGACTCCAGAATCCTGGCCTGCGCTAAGGAGCAGGTACTTGTGCGAACAGGCACAAAGAAACCCTTGGGTGCTGGGTGTCTAGCAGGTTTCCCTGGTGGGTGTTTCCTGTGTGTTGTCCCAGCCCCTTCCGGGGGGTAACTGAGTGTCTTCCGTGTGACTTGGCGGGGAGAGGCCCTTCGAAAGCTTGCTTGTGGTTTGCTGTGCACTTTCTGTCCGTTTCCCTGTAGTAAATCAACTGTGACCGCAGCGGCGTGCCCGGTCCCGGGGTTCTCTTGGCAAGTCACCATCTCACCTGGTCAGGGGACCAGCTGACGCAGCTCAGTTCTCCAAAAGTAATCAAGAAGGTTTGGGTTTTTTTGGTCTTTTTTTTTTTTGTATCAGGAATTTCTCCTCCTCCCAGATTTAAAAATACTTGACTTCACAGGAAAAATCTCAAACAGCCTCCCTTACACCAAAGGACCTAGAAAAGAACAAACAAAGCCCGAAGTTAGTAGAAGGAAATACTCCAGATCAGAGTAGAAATGAAACCGAGACTAAAAAGACAGTGGTAAATAACAGTGAAACTAAGAGCCGGTTCTTTGAAAAGGTAAGCAAAATTGACAGACCTTCAGCTAAACTCACCAAGAAGAAAAGAGGCAGGGCTCACACAAATCAAAAATGAGAGAGAAGTTGCCGCTAACACCACAGAAATACAAAAGATTGTAAGAGACTACAGCGAACACCTCTGTCCATGGAGGGGACGACCAAGAAGACAGAGGCATTTTTAGAATCATACAGTCTCTTGAGACTGAATCATAACAGACAATCCGACATTTTACTAAGGAGGTTAAATCCACAAGCTTCCGGCAAACAGTAGTCCCAAGACCAGATGGCTTGACTGGTGACTTCCACCAAACGTGTGGAGATTTAATACCTGACCTCAAACTTTTCCAGAAATGAGGGTATGCTTCCTAACAAATTCTACAAGGCCGATTTCCTTGATGAACAAAGATGGAAAAATCCTCTACAGAACATTAACAGACCCAATGCAACAATACCTGGAAAGGATTCTGTGCCGAGACAGAGTGGGATTTATCCCAGGGATGCAGGGGCGGTCCCACATTTGTGAATCCATCGGTGTGACACACCGCGTGAAGAAAGTGAGAAATAAAAATCATACGATCATTCAGTAGATGCAGAAAGGCATTTGACAGTCTTCAGCATCCACTTAGGATAAAACTGCCAACGAAGTGGGTGTAGAGGGGATGTAGGTCAACATAATGAAGGTCATGCAGGACAAGCTTCCATCACACTCTGTGGGGAAACGACGTGGCGCACGACAGGGATGGCCACGCTTGCTGTTACAACACTGCTGTGATGAATAACCCTGTACACACATCTCTGCGTACTTTGCCCATGTGTCCCTGGGGGAGATCTCTAGAAGGGGAATTACTGGTTGGAGCTTAAATGCAAAAGTAATTTAGCTGCATAAACCGCTACCCGCAGTAAGAAACACATTTTCCGTCATGACCCAGTCTAAACACACATGTACGCGTAACACGTTAAAACAAGTGTCACAGTCACCCCTCTGTACAGTCTCCTGCTGGATGACTCACTGATGGGTCTGGACTCCAGGCTTAGAGACCTGGGCTTGGCAGAAGGGCCAGCACTCTGAGAGGGCCCGATGGTAGGTCTGTGAGGCTGGGGACTGGCCACCGACTGCTCTCTGCCATGGAGAACTCAGCCCCCGGGCGCGGCCGAGGCCCAGCACAACTTCCTGGATGCCATCGGGAGGCTGTAGTTTGCTGTCCTGTGTTTTAGGCTGATCAGGCCGCACCCCCCGGGAAGCACCCGGACGTGGGAGGGAAGGTGCCTGCCGAGTAAAACCAGGACTTCGGAAGTAGGATGAAGGAAGTGGCTGTTGGCTCGTCAACAGTGGCTGTACATTGACCTAAATACGCCTTGTCGCCTCTTCTGTGGTCGACCTTTGGGCACGCAGATACCCCTGGACGTGCCGTGGGGGTAAAACCCACCGTGATACTGGCTCCCCTGTGTTGCTTGGGGTGGAGAGACCGGCATGGGGTTGGTGAGGCCGTTGCACGGCTCTCCTGCAGATGTAGTTCATGGGCGTATTCTTCAGATATTTTTAAGTTCTCGCTACCTCCATGCTCCCAGGCAGGTGATCAGATTTGGTCAAAACCTGTCATCTTCCCTCAAGTGAGAGCATCTCGCTTGTCCTGAAGTTAAGGCAGAGACGCCATATTGAAGGGAATGTGACTGTTGCCAGGCTAACCCTTTAGGGGAGAAAGCCCCACTGCTTGATTGCAGGTACCAGTTTACTTACGTTTTAGCTAATGTGGGGGCTTGAGATACTTTGAAATTTTTTTCAAGTTATCAACTTGGATAAGATCGCATGGTCACAAATTTTGATGTGACTGCCAAGGGGACAGTGGAGCAGGGTGGCAGTAAGCCCCGTGCCGTCTGCAGGTAGGAAGGACGGTGATAAAGTGAGGTCAGCGGTGCCTGGGGGCTCAGTCGGTTAAGCGTTGGACTCTTGGTTTGGGCTCAGGTCTTAATCTTGTGCTTCATGAGTTCGAGCCCTGCATGGGGCTCCATGCTGACAGTGCAGAGCCTGCTTGGGATTCTCTCTCTCTGTCACTGTTTCTCTCTCTGTCCCTGCCCCTCCTCTGCTCATGCTTGCGCGCGCTCTCTATCTCTCAAAAATAAATCTAAAAAAAAAAAGACTGAAGTTAATTGTGGAATACCGGATTCTTACTATTTGAGGGCAGTGGGGCCGTGGGTTGTGGCCCAAAGTCCTCTGAGGACAGGGTAAGGATGCAGAGTGGGCTGAGAGCCGCCGCAGACCGTTGACTGGGAGCGGACCCCCCCGCCCCATGCCTGCCCCCCCCCCCCACCCCACACACACCCTTAGTGGAGTCAGGCGTTCGGCCTGGTTCTGACCGTGGAGTCACAAAGCCAGGTCTGCATCCATGGAGACGTTTCTTTCTCGACCAGCACGAGAAGTAATGGGGTAGGACGCGGGCCAGACAGATGGGGTGGCGGAGGCTGGACGGAAGCGGGAAGGCACCTGCGAAAGGGGAGACGTGCCTGCTGGGCACTGGCCGCTGTGGTGCCTGCGGCGGCGTTCAGGGTCCCGGGACCACGCACCTCAGAGCAGGTGCCGGGGTCCGAGACGGAACTGGCTTCGTGGGGCAGCTGTAGAAAGTCCGCCACTGGCCGAGGCTTTGGAGGCGGCGGCTTGCACTCACGGCCCTGGTGCTTTCCCGCACGCCCTCCTGCCCGCCCCCCGGCCCCCCTGCCCCACCCCACACCGGAGCAGGGACCCTCCCTTCGCCCTCCTAACACCACACCCTCTCTCCTCCGTAGATTCTCTGCGGGAAGGAGATTCCTCGCTGGATCAATCGGCTCGCCTACTTCAGCTCCTGCATCCCCTTCCTGCAGAGCTGCCTCCCCAAGGAGTGGCTCACCCCCGCCGCCCTGCAGTCCAGCGTCAGCCAGGAGCTCCGGGAGGAGCTGGAGGAGGCGGAGGACGCGGCCGCCGCCGCCCCCGTGGCCGGCCCTGCGGCGGCCTCCAGACCCGGGCGCCACACCAAACTATAAACGTCCCCAAAGTCACAGCCTCAGAACTGTCTCTGACCGGTGACTGTCCCTAGAGAAAAGTAAACGAGTTAAGAAGCGTCCTTTGGGTATTTTGTATGCAAAGATGGCTCTCCCCCAAATCCCAGTTTTTCAGCTCAGGATTATATTTGTAATCAAAAGAACCACTTGGCGTGGGAGGGAGAACTTTGTACGAAGCCGCCCTCTGGTTTTTTACCCACTTGTAAATTGGGATCTACTTCTGTTTTCTACAAGCTCTGTTAAGTTATGTTTACAGTATTTTGTATCGCTGTTTACAAACTTTGCATGGACTCCTGCCACCGTGACAGAAGGAACCCTTCACGTCTGTGGAGCTTCGGTGGGTCACCTTGGGACACCTGCGACAATTTCCAGAGCTGCGGCGTCCGCACCCGGCACACGAAGGGCGCTCGGGCGGCTCTGGTCACCACCACCTGCTTGAGGATGGTCTCTGAGGTCCGCGTGCGGTTCTGTTCGCCTTTGGGCACCGGGATGCCGAGGCCGAGGAGCTCACGCAGCCCGGGGGTTAGGGGCCCGGGTCTGTGGGAGGGGTCCCGCCGGGCAGGGGCCGGCACCCCGGACACCTGTCCCCCCGGGCGGGCCCGCACGTCCCGCGATGCCTCTGATTCAGCGGTTAGGATGGTTTTCATTCGGGACAGGCTTGCTAGGGACGGAGGGGTGTTTTTGCACACACGTTGGGGGCCGCATCCTCGTTTTAGCACGGACTCCTCCCTGCACACGGCCTCGCCCACGGGGCGGGGGTAGCCTAAGCGTTCGCCTCGTGAGTGGCAGCAGGAGTTGACATTCAACTGCTTTTGAACTATTCAGGCCGACTTTTTATACTAGACCTTGAGCACTGGAGCCTGAAGCAACACTCTGCACAAAGGTCACAGTCTGTCCCCCGGCACTTTGAGAGCCGGCCCGCGCGCGTCGCGGCTTCGTCGCAGCTTCGTCGCGGGAGTAGTTTGACCTCAGAGTAGAAAAGCCTAGTCTCCTTGACCTCTTGTTGAAAGATGTCTGTGTGTCTTCAGCTCCCTTTTCCTGTTCTCCCGTGTGTCTCTCTTGCGTAACGTCCTCTGAGAAGGAAACTGTCACCACAGATAAGTCCTCGTTAGCAAGGACTCTGTCTGCTCACATCTACTCCCTGTTTGACCCTTGGATGTAAGAGCCGAGTCACTACATGTCAGATTCAATCTTTCTGCCTTAAGAATGAATGTCCTCCATAGAATATTGGGTGAGCGTATAAATTATCCAAGGCAGTGACTTCAGCTTTATATATATTGTTAGTTTTAAAGTCACCTCCTTTTATTTAAACTCCTAGATTGGATTGTTTGCTATTGCTCTTTGTAAAGATACATATCTTTCAGTAAAGGACATTTTTAACTTTTCCATCAGCTGACTCTGATTCATTGTATCAACTTAAGCACACCCCGTCGGTGGGGAAAACGAACCTTGGGTTATAAGCTGTGACCTGAGGAAAATGAAGCCACTTAACCTAATTCATACTGGTGACTGTTCTGTCTCTGGGGAGGAAGCCCCCACCGTTGTACTCTCCGTCCTCCGGGGGGCAGGGCACCAGTTTTAAGAGCTGTGACAGCAGGAAGGGGAGCGGCTGATCTTTGTGAGAAGTAGACTTGGTTCGGGCCTGAGAACAAGATTCAGAATATAACACCAAGTCCCTGACAGACGCCCTGGCTCACTCAGGAGACGGCCCTGTCACTGAAACCCAGGTTAGTGAGAAGCACTCGATGTGGTTTGCTTGGGAGTGTTTTTGAAAAATGTAGCGGATGACCATGTTTTCTAACCCATTCAGACATACGTGATCTAAGTGTGTGCTGCTCACTCCCAGCAGGGAGCGGCCGTCAGACAGACCCTTCCCAGCGGACAGCCCAGACCACCCCGTCCGTGCTTCCCCAGAACCCACAGCACACGAGATTTCATCGTCCTGTCTTCCTCTCCTCAGCATTTGGAGTTAAGAATAGCATAAAGGGTCCTCAGGGAGCCTAAGGCCCGCTGTCGGACTGGCAATCAGCAGAAACAATTCCGGGCGTGCCAGTGCTCGCGATCTAAATTGTACTTGAGGTTGAAAAACGCCTTTCCTTTAGAAAATCTCATTTAAGTCCGTTCCTCTCTGCAATTCAGAATTGAGATTGGACTTAGTTAACTAGCCCTTAACCGGGGGCTCCCTGCCCTCGGAGGAAAAGAATTGTGTTCCCAGTTTCGCTCAGAAAGACCCAGTCGTGAAGATACATGTGATAGGACGGAGTCGCGTACTCTGTCATTGCCACCGAGTGAAACCCGTTGCTCACGGTGGGTTGTACCGAAGGAGAGTGTTAGAGGGTCAAAGGCGGCCAGTTTCTGCTCTTTGTTTTAAGCGCCCTTGGGTAGGTTGGGAGGTTTTGTGTGCCCTAGAAGGGGGCGTCGGCTCTGGACCGTGGCCTGTGGCCTTGTAGGGGGTGGTGCTCTGGCCCCCGGCAGCAGGTAGGCGCCCTTCACCAGCATTGGCACAGAGCAGGGAACCCTGGCGTGAGCCACTGACGGCACTGGGCACGAGGAACCGCACGACAGGCAGCTGCGGGCCTCCGTCCACGGCTTCCCTCCATCACTAAACGGGTAGAAACACCTTTCACTGCTTCAGGGCTCTAATCTGTGCATCCCCTCATGGCTCCGTTTCTGCAAGATCCTCCGTGACTTTGACACCCTTTCGGGTTCTGTCCGGCAAGCCGGCCGTACTGCCGTTGTATCCTGTTTCCCCTTCAATGTGGTCTTGGGGTGTAGCTGGATTCTTAGACCCGCACTGTCTGCGCAGTCGACACACGTCTTCACTGTTTGAGAGGTGTTAGAGCTGTTAAAGAATCTTCATGAACCTGAAGATAATTTCTTGTGAAGTTGAATGCAAATGTACTGTCATTCATAGTGTTTATATAAAAACTACCAGGAATTTCACTTTTGCTACCTTGATACATAGCATTGGGCTATCATGTTAACAACATTGAAATACATCGATTTATTAAAAAAAATACTTTTATAAGAAATGTTTTATAGTGCTTTCTGACCTCCAGACGACGAGCTATTACGTGTTTGTGTTGGGGGAGGGTGGGAGCTTAACTTAAAATCTGGAGTGCCTGGGTGGCTCAGTCAGTGAAGGGTCCGACTTCGGCTCATGACACGATCTCACGGTTCATGAGTTCAAGCTCCACATCAGGTGAGCTCGACCCCCTCCCCCGCTGACTGTGGAGCCTGGGTGGGATTCTCTCTCTTACTCTCTACCCCTTGCTCACTTATGTTCTCTCAAAAAAACAAAAAACAAACGATCCCATCTGCTCTGCAGACATGGCCAGCCATCCTGTGAGCAAGCTCCAGCATATCTACTCACATGCTCACATGATCGCTCTGGAGCCCAAGTCCAGGGCCCGATTCCTTAGCTGCCGAAAAGCACAACCACATCCCTCACAGACAGTGGGTGCCAGCCCTGGTTTCCGGGCCATGAAAGCAAGCTGAGAAGGGAAAGATGTCCTCTGCCGTCCACCCAGAGTGCAGAGGGGGATCCCACAGAGGAATGGCCCCCACTATGCACACATGCACGCACACACATGCACACGCACGTGGGGCATCAAGCAAGCAGAAGCCAGGGTGCTAGGACTCCGTGTTTCCTACAAACCCATTCTGCTCCTGTTTCACACCTCCAGCCCGACCCTTCCTCCTTCTCCCCTGGCCCCTTTGTACCTAGCCAAGTAGTATTTCCTTCCACTAACTCAAAAACTTCTCTTGATGTAAGTATCGTTAAATAAACAGTGGTGGTTTTGTGGTCAGTGCCTGCCCACAGTCTGCTAAGACGGAATGATCTAGAACACATTTGTTCTCCCTTCAGGCACAGGCACAGGAATGGAAGAGAACCCCCACTCCAGTCTGAATGGGTTCCCAGTGGATTGTAACAAGTCACAGGGTGCCTGGGGGCAGGGGGGCTCAATTAAGTGACCGACTCTTGTTTTGGCTCAGGTCGTGATCTCAGTCCGTGAGGTCGAGCCCCACGCCAGGCTCTGTGCTGACCATGTGGGGCCTGCTTGAAATTCTCTCCCTCTCTCTGTCCCTCCCCTGCTAGTGCTCCATCCCAAAATAAATAAAAGATTATAGCAAGTTGGTCATAAGCTCTGATAACGGTAAAGCAACTGGTCTTGCCTGAAGAAGAGAAGCCAAATATACTGAGAGACTCTAGTTTTTCCCCCCTTACTGTCTGCTCCTGAAGCTCTCATCACCCAGACACTGACCTTGTCCTAAGTTTGCAGAAGTATACGTTGATAAAGATTCATGGCTTCGTGCTATACTTTCCAAGAGTCAAATTAGACACAGGCAGCCTACCTCTTTCCCTACAGGTTCTGAACCCAGAGAACTGTTGAGCACTGTCAAACTGGTGCCTTTGATCCATCCCCCAAAAAGAAAATCCTTCCAAAGATCACGCCTTGACCCTCCGCTGGGAAGTGTGGATAGTGCCCTTCTTGTCAAGGCCAAGTTAGAAGGGCCTCCTCTCAACTTGGTCATGGAGATATTCATTTCCAGAGGCCAGACAGGCTCACCTGATGAGGAGGGCTCTGTGGTCCCCATCAGGAATGTTCGGGACCAGGCTGTTGAGCGGAGTAGAGCCCTCTGCCTTGAGCTCCTCCCCGATGAAGCCAGACCCCTCGGGAGGGAGGGAGTTATGCTTGCTCTGCATGGGGAGAGGCGTGGGCGTTGGGCAGAGCTGCGAAGACTTAAGACAAGGGAAAGTTATTCCGTGTACCTAGGAGCCTCTGTCTGTGTGGCTGCTGCTCATGCACCCAAGTGGGGACTGGGATTTGCAGATTACCCACCTGGAATAGGAGAGATGAAGGCACCCAGGGCTGCCAGACACGGCCCTGATCCAAGACGGGACACCCAGGCCTCCCGCTTCCTCCCCCAGGATCCTCCATCAGGCACCACGGGGAGGCGCTGGCGTGGCCCCTGGCAGGTAGTTGACCATCCTTAGAACACCAGCCTCCCAGCATCCCCATAAATACAAAAAGTTGTCACCCTGAGTCAGGAAAGGCAGTGGATTTTGTTGCCATGACAACAGAGAAAAGGGATCCAGAGTCTTGTGCCCCTCCTGTGGGCTCCCCGGGGCAGCGCAGGGCACTTCGCCCACAGGGCTTCATCCAACGCAACAGCTGGGCCGTGATTCCTGCTTTGCACAAAAACCACCGAGCGGCAATTCGCCCAAGACCACACAGGCGGCGTAGGAAACGCCCACATTTGAACCCAGCCCATCACAAGGCTTTGCTGCCGGGAGGACCCCTGGCCCACCCAGGACCTGCTGACTCAGATCCAGCATTGGGACAAGACCCCAGGGCGATTCCCATGCCCTACAGTCCGAGGAGCCCTGTCCTGTCCCTGGGGACCCTCTTCTGGGCGTTCCCAGCCCCTCTGCCCACAGAAGTGAGAACTGCTTAGAGGAGGTGACCAGCCGTCTGTCATCGGTCAGACGCATGAATGTCTGCAGGACCTGACAGTGCGTCTCCACAGTTCATGGGGTGTGGTTCGATTTTCTGAATGTCTCCTGGGTGTGACCGAATCCATGTAAGTCACTCAAGGAGCATTCCGGGAAGCCTGAGCCTGCCCCAGCCACTCGCAGGAAGCCCGGGATCCACACTCTAGGATTCTGAGCTATGGTTTGAGAGGCTGTCCACCTCCCTATGAGAGGCCACCAGCATGGCACCCAGCGCACGGCCAGCCCAGCCAGTGGGGTCCCCCCAGTCCCAGCTCCCGAGCCGCCCTCCCCCAGTCTGCACCCCCCACCTCACCCAGCACCCTCTGGGCCCCCAGTCGGCCACAGGCAAGCGCCCCGAGAGCCTCCACGCCTTCAAATGTCTCCTGGCCCCTCGGCCTCACGTGAAACCCAGCTGTCCCCGGCAGGTGAGCCCCCCGGAGTGTGCACCCCCCACCCCCCATGGCTGCTTCCACACCCCTCCGTCCTCCAGACCCCCAGCTCCAGTGAGCTCGTGCTCCCCAGGGCTCCCCCTCCCCCCCAGCCCTGCCCTCTTCCATCCCCAGGGACGTCACCCACACGGGAGACCCATCCCGCACCCTGGCCCCGCGTGTCTCCCCGAGGCTCTGTTGCCACCGGGGTAGGAGCATCCTGCCTGTCACAACACGTGGCATCTTTCCAGTCCGCCGATCAGCAGCGTTTCCCCGTCCAGTCTCTGCCGCGGCTAATGTCCCCACACACCCGCCCCCAGGGGCGGGCGGCCAGGCCGTGGCTGAGAACCGCCGTCAGGGCCCCCGTGCTCCCCTGCCTTTCCAGAACATTCCACTTCCGACGCGCCGGGTCCCCACGCTGAGCAATTCCGTGGGACGCCGGCTGGGCGCCCGGTGGTT